AGGCTGGGGGAGGCAATATGGGGTGGCTCTGAAGCTGCAGAGGGAGCTCAGGAGGGTCTCTAAAGGATTTCCTTACCCAGATTTGGGGACTGATCTCCCGGCTTGATTGCATAGGCAATAGGCCCTTCTTATTGACAACCCCCCCCAAATTCAAATAGCGTTTTTCATATTTCTAGAGCAAAACTGGAAAGGGATTCCTAAGGCAGAGTCTCCCGGAATCTGGTTCCTGACCCTCTCTTGGACAGAAGCTGGATGAAGCCTAGTAGTAGGGAAAGGGAATCCAGGCTTCTTCCCTCTCCGCCCGCCCGGAAGCCGAACCCTTCCCTCTGCCCTGTAGACCCTTGACGTTGAACTGTTGGATTCTTAACAGGAAAGCACCCCACGAGATGGAGTGAGCTGAGTTCTGCAAAGGAAGGGACATTCTCAGAGGAAAGATGCTGCAAAGGACGTGGAGGAACATCCTGCCAGAACTTTCCCCCCTTGGACTGACTTCCTTGTGTAGATTAACTTGATCCTCATAAGTTCTAAATTATTTCTCCCATTCCCAGTTGAGTAGGAGCAGGGAAAGGAGGTCGGTCTTCAAGATGCCTTCTTCTAGTATCTAATTAAGAAGGGAAGTGAAACATAAAGCCAGAGAGCTGAAAATAGCAGCCTGGAAAGGGCAGCAGCCTGTCTCTCAATATGCACATTTCTGCACCCCCAGGGATCATGCTCAGCAGAGGTCTTCTGCCAGCCAGCGAAGAGAGCACAAAAGGGATGCTGCCTTTTCAGATTCATGAACAACTGCCCAATGAGCAAGGAAAGAGCCTGAGAAACAAGCCCCACATCAGGCCATCGCCTTGGAGAGGTCTCTCAGTGGTCTGCCTCTGTCTGTCTTGGCAAAGACTGAGGCAAAGAAGTGAAAATGGTGGCAGTTCCCAAGCCAGGAAAAACATAAAAGTCAGATTAGGTAGTGGGCTACAGGCATCTTCCCAAGAAACCCATCCAGGTTAGTAATCATTTTGGTTCGTTGTGTTTTTTAGGAGAGATAGTTAATAGAGTGAGAGGCAGATAAGCTACCATCTGTCAGAAGTGATTTTTTTCAGGCAGGAGCAGAGATTAATCAGTGGTGATAGTTCCTGTTGGCCAAGACCTGTCTCTCTCCACCCCTCTACCCCCCAGAGAAGTTAATGGTGGAACCTCTAGAGCTGCACCATTCAGTGTGGTCACCACAAGCCACCTGTGCCTATTGAGCACTTCAAACGTTGCTATAAGTGTCAGATGTGCTATAAGTGTAAAATACACACTAGATTTGAAGACTTAGTGAAAACAAAATAATGTATCTCATTAGTAATCTTTATGTTGATTACATGTTGAATACTTTAGATATAGCATAGAAACATGTTGAATAATATTTTGGATGTGCAAGATAAACACAATAAATAAAATATATTATTAAAAGTAATTTCACTTGTTTCTTTTTACTTTTTTAATGTGGCTACTAGAAAATTTAAAAATATATATATTATATATATATCTTACATTATCTTAAACAGTGCTGGTCTGGATGGGCAAGTCTACCCCCACACACCTGCACAAGCAGGCACCGTTCTCTCCATCCCCCACCTCCATACAAAAAATAATTAATTTCCTCCTGCTGGCCCACGATCTTCCTGTGCTTTGAGAATCAATCAAGCCTTTCTTGACTGAACACTTCCCGTGGCCCAAATCCCAAATCCCCAATCCCTGGGTGTGTAAATGGGAAAGGCTGCTTTTATTAACATCTCAGTCCTCACTCTGCATACTGTGTGCCTCTCCACGTGAGGTAGAAGCCACTTGAGGGAAGGAAGGTTATACTATCAGTTCTTTGTACGTTCTGCTGAGGATGTCGTCACTCTGTTTTTAATTAGTGAGACCAGCAAATGTTTGGTCACTATGCCCACATATACCCCTCCCCCCTACATTTTACCCTAGCTGGAAAAATATCCCAATTATTCAGCATTTCTCATTTCCTAAGAAGCTAAACCCAGGAGTGAGTTCTCCCTTTATAAAGTAAATAATCTTTCTTTGTGAACTGTCACCCCAATAAATTCAATTAAAAAAGAATCTATATAGGGCAACAGCATTGAGTGCAGAGGAGCGAGAAAGAGGGTGGGCTTGGGGACGGTGGCAGAGAAAGTACCCCGGGGAAATAAGGCTCTGAAGCCTCATTTCCTCCTAGAGAGCAGCTCCCCAGAGTGGGCCTCTGAGTCACTGGGGTTTCCCCCAGTCTCTGCCTCACAGGGCTCCCCTCCCTGAGGGCTTGAAGGGAAACAGATGTGCCCACAGTCACCCAGCAAGAGGGCCTGAGAGGGAGCCCACGTCTTCTCCCCTGAACCCTGCCTCTCCCCTCAGACGGAACCCTTCCACCTGGGGACCACAAGCTAAGAAGGATCCAAGGCATTACGCTGCTGGCAGCTGACTCTCCAACTGCTGACGCGGAGGAGGAGTGAGGCGAGATCATTATAATTCACTTTTGTGAATGTTTAATATTTCAATTCATACAATTAGCCCCAAGCCTAAATGAGCAGCAGGGCGGCAGATCTGCTGACAGGACACCCAATAATGAGATCAGCAGGGCAGCGGGGTCTTCCTGCCCTCCTCCCTTGGAGGGCGAGGTCTGTTTCTCCTCTCCTTGAACACCGAGATCAGATTAGAAGCAAGAGAAGGTGCCCTGCGGTGAGGGAGGTGAGTGGAAAGTTACTTTCCAGATGTGCTTGCACTCTCCATTCCCCCACACCGCCACCACATGCCCTGACGCCCGGCACTGGGTCCTCCACCATCTCCCGTACGCCCACCTCAGGGGACCCTACTGGGAGGGCCTCGGCGCCCATATGATGAAGTATAATCATGTCTACACACGCACACACACTCGAACAACACACACCTGCCAGAATGTGGCTTCAGACCACAGACACCCACACTAAGGAAGGATGGAAAGTGGTCACAGTGAATCAAGCAGTAGAAAGAAGGACATTAGAAAAAAGGACGTCTCTCACTCGGGACTCAAATGAAAACACAGGGAGAGAAAAGGCCAGGCTTGACCGCTCCCCCTACTCCCATTTAAAAAAAAAAAAATCCACACCTGAGGATATATTTTCATAGATTCAAGAGAAGGGAAAGGAGAGGGGTGGGGGGAAGAAGCATAGATCCATTGCCTTTGACAGGGAATCGAACCCAAAACCTTTCGGATGGTCCAGCCAACTGAGCCAGGTGGCCAGCGCCCCACTAGGACTTTGATGTGGGAGTTAAAGGCGTGGACTCAGGAGCCAGGCTGCTTTCTAGCTGCATGACCTTAGGCAAGTCATTTGCCATGTTTATTTAGAGATACTAATTGAACCCACATCGTCGGGTGGTGCTGGGGTTTAAACAAGTTAGTAAATGTATAGCGCTTGGAACAGTGCCCGGGACACAGTAAGTACCACCTAAGTGCTTGCTGTGACCCCTGGGGGAGGGGGCTGCTGGGATTCCAACGGGGCATCTTCCAGACACACCAGCGCCCTGTGAAGATCCTGCCCGCTCTGGGCTGGAGAAGGGAATGACGGGGGGCAGGGTGCCCTCCAAACGCTCGAGCCCCTGTGGGCCAGTGAGGCGCGGCCGGCAAGAGGGGCCCCTCCCGCAGGTGGATGTCAGCAGACACCCCTGGGGGGCGCTGCGAGGGGGCCCCGCGCGTGGGGGCCAGGCGCCCTCGGGATTATGAAGCGATGTAGCGGTTTAGGGGAGTAATGGCCCCCAAGTGTGCTGCCCCCACCTGTCTTTGCTCCCGGACCCTACCCGAGAACCCCTCCCGGAACCTAAGGGGGAGGCGGGGCCCCGGGGAGCGCGGGGGGGTAACTGTTTCCTCGGCGAGAGGAGAGCTCGGCGGGCCCGCTCTTCCAGCCGAAGCAGTCGGGAACCGACCCTCGTCGGAGGTTCTTGGCATCGACCGTTTGTCTGAGAAATGTCAGAGAAGCACCTACTACGTTTGATCGAGACACTGAGTAAAACGCAGGATTTAACGGGGTCCCGGTCTTCCGGGAGCCGGCGAGCG